GTGGACTTGTGCTGCAACCTCCACTGAAGCCCGTTTTATAAGCCGTCTTAAGCTTTGTTTATACAGCACATTAGGGCCATCAAAGAAAGGTAAAAGGACCGAAGTACTAAGACAAATGCCAACGTATATTAGAAGAGGTAAGACTGTACCGCTTAAGTAAAATGGAATCAACCTAATAAGTCCACAAACTTGGCTAAGTCCATAGTTTTAAAAGAAAAGCAGTTCTATCAGCTTGGTATTCAATTATTACATAAAGATTTTTAATATTTTATTGTCCAAAAATGGGCACTGACGTATAAGGTGTAGCACAAGTTCTTTCTATTTGTAGTATCGCAATCACTTCATATTAGGATAGACCAATTCTAGTTTCACGTCTTTCTACCACGCAGTGATATGTCAGCACCATTGCACAGAGTGTGTTCCGCTTTAGTTTAACGAGCAGACTGGTGCGTTTTTTTTTGTTGAATTTGGACCAAGTAAGACTTTATTAGCTATCTTCAAGTATATATGTTTAATTGTTAGTTTAGCCATTATATACCAAAGAGATACTAAAATCAGAAGAATGAATTTAATACTAAAAATAAATTAATTCATTTAAAACGTACCTCTGCTTCTGTCATAATAGTTTCTTATATAATTAATCCATTCTATCTTTCTGAATCAAAATGAATATATTATTTCTGTTAGAGGATAGTATATTCAATAGAAATTATTAAATTCCACTATACTTAAACTAAATGTCCTAATGGACTGAATTTTTATATTGCTATTTAAAAGCTTTTGTATTATGTATACAGAATGGGGTAACCATAGTCACTTAATTATAAATGGTATTTTGTGGAGTGTCTTCTAATTTTTTCAACAACTTCTAAAACACAATATTAGTGATCAAGTTGATCAATACATTATCTGAAAAATAATATCCGAACTTTTTTTGCACAAGAATTGAAGTACTGAATCCATACACACTGTTATATTTTTCAAACAAATTAATTCTTAAGTGGACGACTAAATATTCATGTTTTCTTTTAAGATCATTAGTTCTTATAAAGCATTATCTATTTCGAGGTCCATCTTCAGTACTGATGCAGTGCCATATGTCATAACTTATCTCTGGTGCAGTGAAAGTCCACAAGTAACGGTCGAAACACTATTACATCCACAAAAATTCACTGTGTGGTGCGGTATTTTGTCTGGAGAGCCATATTTTATTAAAGATGGTGTGCAAAAACAGTTAATTCTATACTAACCGCCATTTGATTATTAAGTTTTTTGATGTAAAAAGGTTGGTGCTATATATCACATAACATATCCGTTTTGTATTTGATGAGCGAGAAATTTATTTTCTCTATTTTTTCTATTGATGCATAAGGCTAGCCACGGAAGGTCTTGGTACTGAAATACTTTTCCACTTGAACCAATAAATATAGCACACAATAAGTAGATGATAAAATGTCGTTTGCGGAGACCAAGGATATATTTTCGTTCGAAATATGCGTCTATTGAGGTTTTAAAGTTGTCGAAGTAAGATAATGATAACTTACCAATATTTTTTGATAATGAAGTACCTTCTTACAGCAGTTAATGCTATTCTTGCTATTACCTTATTAGCACCTTATTAGATAAGGATAGATATTATTACCTTATTACTTAGATACCTTATTAGATAAGGTGCTTGATTTTTAATCTAAATATAATCTTAGAGATTACTTCTAAAATCGGGGGAGTAGACTTTTAGATTTCATTTTTAATCTGAAAGCCCCTCTTGAAGTGAATTTTTAGCTACTGGTGTAGATATAAATAATTCTGTTCAAATTTATAGTGTAGTTTTTGCTCCATCTGTACTATTCTGTAATAAGTTCGATGTCTATTGTGTTATTTTAGGTTCATGAAATTTCTGAGCGCTATTTTCGTTTTCCGTTCAGGGATTCTACAATTGATAAGTGTGTCCTTTAACGCAACACCAATTTGCAGTTTTATTAGTAAAGATTTTGTATTATATATTAAAGCATTAATATATTTATAATAAATTATTTACACATTGTGTATATGCCTATACACTATATAGTTATATAGTTAAACCAGTTGCTTTGTTCTTGTGAAGTATAGGGTATATATATTCTGCACAACCGTATTTAATTTAATTTATGTTTATTTCGCTTATTTATACTATTTATAAAACAATTTATGTGTTTAATATACTCTTTAAAAGTTGTTTTTTATGTTTATTCTTCTTCATAATTTAAGATGTTAAACACTAAAATTCAGGGTTTTTTATTATTGATTGTTTTTGGCTATATACATATTTTTATATTCATATCTACAAAACGTTATTTATAGCAGATACTGTTATGGATTTATTATGAATATCATTTTTCAATATTTATTGATATATTTATGCAATATTTTTAAATATTATAACATCATCCTTGTGGGAGTATATGCCGTTTTGCAGCATTCTTATATAGTTTTTAAATAAATATGAGCTTGACAAATTGAACTAATTTGTCATATGAATTTGTCGAGTTGTGATTTAATTACGGAAATAATATGCGGAATATAATAATTCAAGTACAAATAATTCTCAGATCTTTTAAAACTGGTGAATCCAAATAATCAATTGATTAATGTTATGATCCAATGGGCTCAACAAGGAAGCAAGGCCAAGAGTCGACCATTACGATTTTTAAATTCCTGTAGCTGCACAATTGAAGGCTTCGTTATAATGACGACAATTAGTGAATTGGCTCAAGTTATGATCAGAACGAACGCGTTAACAGAACTGCAGCTAACTAAATCTAGACTTTAACTAGTATAGCTAAAGCGCAGCATTTGACGAAAACCAGTATTACCTAACATACAGCTTTCTCTTTAATGAAGATGTTTGAGGTCATTCTAATAACTTATTGTATATGACTTGTATAATTAGAATATCATTCTTTGTGACTAGATGTTTTCAGTAATTTGTATGGAAATATTGAAAGTATCTATTTTTAATATATCTTGCTGTGAATAAGCAATACTTTGATCAGTATAAGAATACAATTGTATACAATGGTTTCACATATCAGAAATAAGTTCGATTTAAGCATAGGATTGCATTATTTTCGACGTTGTACTTCGGAAACGAATGTAGAAAGTACCCCTTTTATATGTAGCACATTTTGGGTCCATATGAGAAACTATGTAAGATTATGTGTATGATATCGGTTATGTGATCCCAAAGCGAAATTTTTGTTTTAATCAGAAATTTCTAATAGCGGTTAATTTCCGGTTAAACTTAACTAAAACAAAACTGGTGCATATTGCACCCACAAACAACCACACTCACTATTGACGATAATTACGATCTTAAGAAGTTATCTGTTCCAAGTAAGCTTAGTATGATAATTAAAGAGCAACGAATTGAACCCAATATTTCTTCGCGTATAAAAGATGTGCAAAGTTCTTCTTTAATCTATGGAAAGTTTGGTGCTCATGAAACAACTAAAGGCACATATAACTCCAAGTTTTCAATATCCGTTTGAAACTAATATTATTTCATGTCTCTGAGACATGGATGTTTTTCCTAGATGTTTTTCTTCTTCCAGTGATTATCTTTGCCTTTTCCTCATAAGATATATCAATGCACATACATCTTCGATTTTTTACTGAGAGCTTTGAATTAGTACTACTTTTACATGTAACGCACACATCTACGACTTTTTAGTAACTGCTTTAAACCAGTGCTACTCTATGCTTCTTCGAAATGGATCTTCAAGAATCTTCTTTTTTATTTCATTGTTCTTGACATTTCCTATGATAACATTAAGTCAATAATAATGCAAGATTACTATTAAAATAGCTAGGTCCATCATTATGCTCAGAGATAAAAACTAGACGTGGATAAGGTACATCTTACGAGATGAGTATGATAACATCACACAAATTTCTCTTTAGTAGAAATCACATAGCATCCGTTAACCGGATAATCATAGAGAGCTGAAACAAACCAACATATTTTAAGGTACATGTAATGTAATGGCATTGCGTAGAATAGTAACTGCTAAAGGGACTTTGCTTGCAATCCAGGCTTTGACTAGGAGCACCAAAATATATAACATTATTTTTAATAATTCTTATATTATTCTATATTAATATAAAAATTAAGAAGTGACACATAATTATAATAAATTGGTTCTAGGACCGGTCTAGTATAAGATCCGGAGTCATTCGTCCTCGACAACCAATTGCTGATCACAATTCTTGTCGTTGTTCTATCGTTCGCAAAAATGTCGAACCGAGCAAGCTTCACAAAAGTTGGAAGACTTATCCGGTCTACAACAATAACATTATTAGATACTGATTAAAAGTAGTGATTGTGATAGAAATTAGAACTAAATGTCAGGGGTACTTTTCGTATTCTTTTTAATGCTTGTTTCAATTCTTCTCAGCTGTTACTATGTATTTTATTACTTATGAAAAATAAACAAATTAAAAACACATAAAATTTATAAATAATATTTAAATAGAAATTAATACAAGTATTTAAGAACGCGGACTATTATTTTTTTATTGCGATCTATTTTGTTATTAATTAAAAACAAGAAGTTTTAGTTCGTGATGGCCATTACAAAATAATCCGATGTGAGGAGGGGTAAACCTGATTTGATGTTGTAAGATAGCTTTTTATGAGCCGTGAATACTATCAAATCATTTTGTTAATTTTTTAGTGCCACTGAAATTTTATTTCAGATTATTAATTTGAAATAAAATTAAATATAATGGCACTGACACTATAGTATTTAAGAACAATTAAATCTGAGTGGATTAAATCCGATATTGAGTAGGTTATAGATAATCTCATGATTAACTATTAATTTCTATAATACATTTTGTTGTCTCCCCCCATTAAATATGCCATTGGTTTCGTATTATTTTTTTTTTATAATTATTACACCTAATATATAACTTACAAAAACTAATAACAACGTAAATAATAACAACATTTTTGCTAATTTTAAAATAGAAACTAAATTTTTTCATTAAATTAAACTTAAAACATGAAATAGTTTAGAATTCAAATTGAACGTCGATGCTTTGGTGGCGTTTTCCAGCCACGATACTCCGAATCGGGATGTCGTCGATTATATTCGATTGAACGCAATATATAATCCGGTATGCTGGGTGGTCGTGGCAAATGACGACCGACAGCGTGGAAGCCCAACTCATCGGCTATGTAGCGCACCTCGATTGGTGTGCCCTCCGGTGAGACATAACTAAAGATGCCTATTTGCTCCAAAGCACTGCCAGCAGCTTGCACATTAATCCCATTGCTCGTGCCATAGGCGTATTTATAGATGCCTAATTCATCTGTGGGCGCTACACGAAAGAGCGTAATCAGCGCATCTTTATCCGCAAGTTCAACGCCAAGGACGCTTGTGTAAGTCGCCGCCAGTGTGAACACTAAAAATACATACTGTGGTTCGATGAAAACGTATCTTTAACCGTATTTAATATAAATTTTGTTTAACAAATTGTTTCAAACGCTTTGCAAACGAACTTACTAATTTCAATTTATTAAGCATTTTGTACGAATTGTTTTTGTTGTTGCTATTTTCGATTTTTGTTGAGATTTAATTTAATTTAATCCGTTCGATTCGTTTCGATATACTTTCGTGTTGTTGCGTAGGGCTACAGTGTATTATCGATACTGAGGGTTTTCGCGTCTCAAATTTAGTTTTTTATAGCCAAAATTATTTTGTTTGAAGCTGCTTGTGTGTGGATGCTCTACTAGATTCTTTGTTCATGATTAAAAAGTCCAGTTTCTTCGTTAGCACTTCTCATTATTTTTAAGTTTTGGTAGGTTCGCTCTTACTCCATGACTGGTTTATTATTATGGATTTATTTCCGTTTATGGCTGTCATAGATTTTTATTGCTTTATTTCATGTTTTTGATTTTCTATAAATTTGTATAAATTACCGCTTATATTGAATTTGTTTTTATGGTGGTCAGGTCAATCGCGCCATCAATATTATCTGCAATACCGAGACGTGATGTCTAATGCCAAATACGTCTTTGTAAAGATTTATATAGTAAAATATATGCTAATTATATACACTTGTAAAAATTGTATTTCATTGATTAATAAAAATGAATATTATAGTAAAAAAAATTCATTTTATTGCCAATTATATTAATTTACAATTGCGTGCATAATTTTTTTTTTTTTTTACTACTGAAGGGGTTGGTCCAACCTTATGAATGATAAAGAAAAAGAAACATTTGTTTTTAATAAGTTTTTTTATTAATATGACATTTGAGTTTATTAACATATAATTAAATAATTTTTTCATGTGTGAATTTTGTGAACTTCTTTCATAAAGTTTCTTACAATGTCACATATATATTTTTTTTTCGTCTCAAAAAAAAAAAAATTAATCTAATTTAATATTTTTGAAGGGCTTTTCAAAAAATATAAATATTGCAAAACTCAATGGAGTTAAATTTCGAATACTGATATTACTATAAATGTTGCAAATTAAGAAATAAAAAAATAAATAAGAAAATATATAAAAATTTAAATAAAATAAAAACTGACCACCAGCTAGAAATTGCACAAAGCCAGGCTCTGAGAAGACTTTTCAAAGTTCCATGGTACATTAGGACGAATGACATCCTCAGGGACATCAAGATTGATCCTATCAAAAAATACATAAAGTATAGAGCCCTGAAATTATTTGCGAAAACTGACAGACTTACCAACACCACGTTATCAAATCTCAGAATGGTTACAGGCTCCTCGGGGAGGTATGCAGATCTGAGGTCAATTATTGCTTAGTCTGATGAAGAGATAAACAATTATCTAGTCAAGGCGTAAAGAGGGGTTTTGAAGAAACCTTGAGTTAAAAAAGAGTATAAGTGCTTAAGTGCACTAGCTCAAAACAGCTTCAACATAATAACTGACTATTTAGATATTATATATACACATATTTTATCAGAACTTCGGAAAGAAAAACTTCACTAACCTTTGCAATATTTACAAATTAAACAAACTATTTGCATATATGCAAAAAACGGGGTTTACAATAATTCTATCTTGTTCCGCAAATTTTAATACGTGATATACACACATATGTACATCAATCTGTCGTCCTAGGTGAAACCTCTGGGTCCTGGAATTATCTATCATATTTAGTTATGAACTCGTTCCTTCTCAAAGTTAAAGCTCAGAATCAGTATTCGTTATAAATATAATAAATGTAACAGCTCGAAAAATTAAATATAAGAAAAAAAATCCAAAATCACTGATGATGAGTATTTAGCAATAATTGAAAAAGGACCATACTTGTATGGTCCGTCAAAAATTCAATTAATTATATATAACAAAAATTTTGTTGTTGTAATTCACTATTGTTCGAAACCTCTCGAAATATATTTAAGGTTTTTTGTTGTGAAATTACAAAACATTTCATAAATATCACACAAGCCCTCAAACAAAAAAAAATAGACTAATCACAAAGATTATAATGAATTAAAAAAAACTTTTGATTTTAATTTGTTCTCCAACTAAAAGTAAAGATAGAATCACATTGACGCCCAGCGTTATTGGAATTTCACTCTTCAACTACTAAAATTACATTCACTGTTTTTGAAATGTATTTAAACCGTAATCCCAAGGTTTTTCTGAACTACAGTTGTACCACTATTGTTTCTTAATGTGATTACCTGTCATTAAGACTTAACACCTCGATGATATGTGTTAACATATACCAGTATAATGCGAAGATATATATCTGGATATATCTGGCTATATGTCTGGATATAGTTCTTGCTATGAAGCGAGGCCTATCTAACACCTCTGTCGTTATTTATGGCATAGCATCTGGTTTAAAAATGCAAGTCCAGATCGAATGATAGTAATGAATGGAGTCATTCTACCTACTTAACTTTGAGTTTTAGTTACAACCACTACGACATTCCCATTAAAAGGGTTAACTGCAATTCGTTAGGTCAGTGGAAGTTGTGTGCCCTGGCCCCTATAATACAAGACTTACACTTTCGAAACCTACAAGTGATACTCAGTTACTATAATTTTTACTCCAAACAGTATTGATTGGTGTATGTTTGATTTTAGTAGTTTCTTACGACAGGAACCACCATTTTGGTATATTCTAACCCCTTTTCGGCAGGCGTTGATTCAACTGTAGTAGTTGGATACAGCAGTTAGATATATCAGAATTAAGTTGTGCAAATATTTTATTTAAGTACTGCTCACGATTAACCTATAGTCGATGGCTACTGTTGATTCAACTATAGTAGTTGGATAAAGTAGCTAGAAATATCAGAATTAAGTTGTGCAAATATTTTATTTAAGTACTGCTCACGATTAACCTATAGTCGATGGGTACTGTTGATTCAACTATAGTAGTTGGATACAGCAGCTAGAAATATCAGAATTAAGTTGTGTAAATATTTTATTTAAGTACTGCTCACAATTAACCTATAGTCGATGGCTACTGTATTCCATATAATTGGATTGCAGGATAGATGTCAGCTACTGGTGTCTCATAAGTGTCACCATTAGTACCATCAGTGAGTATTTAGCAATGTTAAAGATTAGGAATGCTATTATGTTGGGCGGCAATGTTTTTCTTCATCAAAGTTAATAACTCTCATCTCAGATTTGTATATAATTTTGTAAATTTTTTAAATGTTTGAAAATTATTTCTCTCAGTGTACGCAAAGTCAATAATATTTTTGTTGTTTATGAGTCTATTTTGATTCAAATTGTAAACAAAAAATCTTTAATTGACTACACAGAAATTGGTTCCAGTAAACATTACGCATGGGCGGAAGTGTTTCCGAAGACAATAATACCTGTTAATCTCATATTAAATATTAAATATGATCATAATAATTTATGTATCTGCTACGTCATCGAGTTTACCTTATTTTCGTAAATTTGTAAATTAAAATGCGTTTATTTGATGAACTTTCTGCTTATTTCGGAACAATTAATTATGTTTTGGTCCATAGAAGTGACAATTTTAATGTGGTTTGTGTCTTAAGTCTTTTGTCATTTTTTATGCCTTCGGGCGCGTCAAAATATGTAAATTATACATAATTTATGTGATTCAGACGAAATAAACTCAATGAATTCTCAATTCTTGCTAAATATGAAAATATTTTCAATAAAGAATGTTAATGTTAAAATAAATTTATTTATTTATGTAATTATAATTCACATATTTTATAAAAATTGTTGACAACTTTTATCGAACATTTTCAATTTCGGGTTAATGAACGAGCATTTGTTTCACAGAAAAAACTATCGATTTGAAATAAATTTATTTAAATTAAATATAAATTGATAAACAAAAATTAGTTTCGTATAATGGAATTAAGAAAAAATTCCCATTTGTTTACTTAAAATAAAAATAAAAAGCCATTATGTTGAAAAAAAAGTCGCACGAGTAGTCGAGAAACTGGATTTCGCATTTGGCATGAAAAATCGAATAGTTTTGTTCTCCACATTTCGTGTTGATAATTTATAACGAAAGCATTTAAAATGATAACTAATTTAATTAGTTGAAATCCTGTTTAGTATTTATTAAATATGCATAAAATTATGTATAAATAATATGTATAAATAATTAAGTATGACATATTCATAACAAAATCGCTTAAACCTGAAAACTCACCCGTGACTATGGCGTGTCTAATCGGATCCAAAATATTGGTCATGAACTATTTTTATATGACGTTTGGATTTCCTAGTTATAATTTATATTTATTTAAATAATATATTAATTAAAATTTTTATATAAACTTATGTTCTTTATTGAATGGTCTCAGTTCATACAAAGAGTTTTAGTAGTGAAGTTCTTTTGTTTTAGGATTTACATTTTTAGTTATTTTTTTCTAAAGAAGCATTGAATAAATTTATTCTTCAGATGGATTAAACGAAAAAAAAATTCACAAATAAATTTATTTAAAATTAAATATCACGATGAAACTATTTTTAAAATAGAAACGGATTAACAAGAATGAATATAAATACAGCTGTTCCGAGTACCATTCTTTGTTTTTCCCTATTATTCACCTTCATTCTATTTAAAGAATTTTCTTTTAGTTTGATATGTGTTAACATATACCAGTATAATGCGATGATAAATGTCCCTATTGCAATCGCCAGTACTAATTCAAGCTATAGATTTGGATATAGTTTTCTTCTTGCTATAAAGCGAGCCCTATCTAACACCTCTGCCGTTATTTATGACATAGCACCTGGTTTAAAATTGCAAATCCAGATCGAATGATAGTAATGAATGGAGTCATTCTACCTACTTAACTTTGAGTTTTAGTTACAACCACTACGACATTCCCATTAAAAGGGTTAACTGCAATTCGTTAGGTCAGTGGAAGTTGTGACCCCTATAAAACAAGACTTACACTTTCGAAACCTACAAGTGATACTCAGTTACTATCATTTTTACTCCAAACAGTATCGATTGGTGTATGTTTGATTTTAGTATTTGATTTTAGTATTCAAAGAATTTTCATTTAGTTTAGAAGAAAAAAACAAGAATGTTGGTTTTTGAACTGTAAAATTTTTTATAATCTTATTCTTTACAGGTTTACCCATTTTGCCTATCAAATGGGTTAGACCCACTCATTACTTTGTACAGTGAATCCTACTACAGTTACATTTCTGCAACTTACCTAAGCAGTTTTCAAATCTGGATTATACCATTTAACTGATATTCCACTTTCCTTTATTCATATGATTGTGTAGCGTTTAGCAAAGCTTCAAACTGCACAAAGTCATGCACTAAGAAGACTTTTCAAACTACCATAGCACATTAGAACGAATGACATCCTCAGGGACCTCAAGATTGATCTCATCAAAAAATACATAAAGGATAGAGCACTGAAATTATTTGCGAAAACTGACAGAGTTACCACCACCGCGTTATCAAATCTCAGAATGGTTACAGGCTCTTCTGGGAGGTATGCAGATCTTAGTCTGATGAAGAGATAAACAATAATCTAGTCAAGTTGTAAAGAGGGGTTTTGAAAATACCTCGAGTTAAGAAAGAGTAAAAGTGCTCAAGTGCACTGGCTCAAAGATCTTCAACATAATAAACATAATAATTTCATAAGGACGTTGGAGATTATGGAGATTATCTCTGCTTTCACAATTTTATTCGTCTGACACAACGTAGTAACTCCAGACTCAAAAAACTAATATAGTCTTGATTTTGTTTATTAGTTGATTTTAGTGGCAATAAAGCTTTATTTCTCTCATACATTAGTACTGCCTAGGCGCTGATTCAAGTCTTAATCCACCTAGTTTTCAAAACCAAAACGAATAAGAAGAATTCATAAAAGAGATTATTTATTAAAAATGTATCTTTAGGATATTCGCTAGGATCATCAGTTCATTGTTCAGTTCAATTGTTTCTTTTCAGTTTTTCTTTTCAGTCCTGGTACAGTCTTAATCTAATCCATCCAATCCATATTTTATAAAGGTTTCTGAAAATTCTATACAATTTAAGTATCCATAATGTTATCAATTGGAGATTAAGTATTGTTGCAAAAATTGCGTTTATCGATACAGCATATTGGGAAGCAAGTATATAAAATATATATCTTTTTCCAAGATCACTACCGTTGTTGTGACTCATATCGTGAGAAACTTATATCCATCACTCTCCATCGTTCGTCACTTCTTTGTGTTCGCTCCCATCTTTTCCACTAAATTCTCGGGATTTATTGAACCAATCCAGACTTTATTTCTTTCCTTAATGTGATCACTTATTATAGTAAAAGGTGTACTTTGCATCATCACAGTTGTCGTGAAAGAATCCATGTCCGGCCAGCATTTGAGAGATGTATTAATTTGTGTCTGTTAGACTTTTTACCAGTTTCCATATTACCTCTTTATGTAAAAAATATTGCACCTAGTGTTTATCGTTTGAACTACAATCATAGTTTATAAACAAATTGTTTAAAAATGCAATAGTTCTAGCAGAGAAAGAATACATTGTCGAAATATTAACTGTGATTCTGAATGTTTTCTAATTTTTGCCTAATTAATTTAACAGATGATGATATTCACTAAAGAAACTTGCAAGTTGGTAGCTATTAGTTGGATCTTTATCTATTTTATTGTGTTTTAAGAAATTAATATTGTGGTCGAGCGGCTCTGAATTGAATTAAAACATACTATTCTGTCTGTCTGTCAGTGATATACTGACTCATTTATTCTCTTTAAATTTACATGATATGTGTATGGTAAAAATCGAACTTAACAAACTAGAGTTGCCATGTTACATATTTTTCATATGGCATTATATAAAACTAATATAATTATAGAAATGCCTATACACTTATACTACACTATATACTATACTAGATACTATATACTACAACAATATGTATAATTCCTCATCATAGTTTATGATTCCTTTTTTAACTTCGATTTCTTATCTATTAGACTAAATTAACTATATAAAGTGTATAGACTTCATTTTAAAATGATATTTACACTACAACAGATGTAAGCTACAATACTCGATTAATTGAACGGAGAAGTGATACTACTGAGAAGTGGGTCCTGAGAAGGGAGTCCTGAGAAGTGATACATTTGAAAATTGCTTATGTGACCGTGAAATTAAAAATCGATTTATGCTTTATGGATTTTTAATTCATAAGAAGATGACTATAGGTATAACTTCTTAAGAATCTGGTAATCGAGTACTATTTCTAATTAATAACTGTGGCAATATCCTATCAAGTCAATATTAACACTTAAGTGAAGTAGCGAAAATACGAATAAAGAAAGGAAATACGTAAAGAATATGTGTATAGGTATATCATGTGTTGCATTTATATGGAACCTAATAGTGAATATTAACTTGTGCAAATAACTTGTAGAATGATTGTTCAGACAAACATTGACAAATCATTTAACACATTAATACCATGTTCCCACTGCAGCTTAATCAATTTATGTTAATTAATTCAAGATTTGGTGGTTTCCACTAGCATAAGTTGCATATGCAAAAGCTTTTATGTGTCCGAAAGTTCTAGGAGAGCTTTTGTTTACTTACTTTTCAGTTAATGTGTTAATGAAATTAATATTATTTCTTAAATAATATATACTTATATCAAATCTATATTTGTTATATAAATTCATTTGTATTTTTTTATATATCATTTATATATTTTATTTATAAAAAACAAACATTTTAAAAAATTTTTACTTCTCATTTGTTTGACTTGTTGATTTTTTGTTTATTTATATATTGTTTCATGTGTCGATAATGTCAAATGTCGATAATTTCCCTTTTGGGAAATATATTTTGCAATGTTGCATTCGACAAATTTGGTGCAATATCCCTTAATTAAATCTTAATTAAGTTAAAAGCACGAAAGCTCTTTGTGTGGTTAAACAAAATTCATTGGAAACAAGTTGTAGAATATGATGGAGTATTTTCATTTTATTTATCCAAAATAATAGATATTCTATTTCTATGCTAGCCATAAACATAAACAGATTACACTATCACTATTGCTATCGATGCTATCATGTATTTAATTTCTGATAGATTAGAGATGATAACAGACTTGCGCTCTTCTGTAAATTTTGCTTAATTAATCAATCAATTAATAATACAATGTGTAATTAAAAACACATAAGATTATTAAATTATTAATCAATAAATGTCAAATCAATGACGGTTTACTAGATTACACCATTTATATGTAAAATGCAAATAAGATGATTTTCTCACACAAGTCGATAAAAATCGCTAAATGTTATGTACCTGATCATTCAGAACCATAAGAATTGTGTTAAGGTTATTAAAGACATAATCTTTAAATTTTAAGTGCATATAAAAATGTGTTTTTCAAATCAATATAATTTTAGTGTTTCAAATTACCTTGAATATTATGAATAACGAACAAAATATAGCATCGTAGAACATTCGATGGGCGGACGCTTCTATTGAAAACATAATTTGGATTTCTTCGAATAGCGAAATAGCCAAATAGCCAAGCTCAAGAGCCGTGACTTCAAACGAACCGTTCTCTTCATTGTACCCAATGACCTTTCAAAACTTTTCATAGTAATTTGACAGCGCATTTGAAGAGGAACAAAAGACTTAAGCATCAAATTTCATTTATCACAATTTTTACAGATATTTTTTATTAATATTTAATATTTTTACACAAATTTTCCAATTGAATTCTATTTACTTATTGATTTAATATTTACTGATTAGAAATACACATCAAAATCGATAACCTTTTAAGGTTTTATACACAAAATCAACAAAATGCATTAAAAAAGCTTTAACATTCTCCGCCGACGCAGCAAATCGAGTTATTTATCTTTGCTGTGGAAGATGAAGAAAACGATTTATTGTTGTTCTTTGAGTTGTGCTGGTGGATGTGATCTAATATATTCCAAAGCTCTCAAAACATAAGCCGGCACAGGTGGAGGTGTTGGCAAATGTTCACCAACGGGATGGTAGCCTTCCTCGTCGGCAGTGTACTGTAAAGAGATGTGTTCACCTTCGGGTGAGACGTAATTCAGAGAGCCGCGTACACCAGCTGCATTGCCGGCCTCTTGGAATTGTATGCCATTCGACGTCTCGTATGCATACTGGTACTTGCCCTCTGCATCGGCCGCCTCGTTCACATAGCTGCGTATTTCAGCATTTTTGTCAATATTATCAGCGCTCACGAAGGCCAAGAAGACGGTTAAGATTAACTAAAGTTTTGTGAAAAAAATGTGTTATTATTAAAAAAATTTCAAAAATGTAGATACAAAAATCGAAAGTTGTGCAATACAAAAATGTAGTGGGTAATTACAGCGGCTCACGTATTAATTTGATGATGATTTTATGTCTTGAGGAAATTATAAATTTTTAAAAAAATTTTATTGTTGTTTTACTTACAAGCTTAAACATTTTATTTTTTTAAATTTAATGTGTTTTTGAAGAAGTGCAGATAGTGTGTGTACAGGAGACCGAGTGTCCGAACTGCTTGCAATGGTGCATTTCGCTGCGGCTTTTATACTGAGCCCAAATTAGGTACTCTGCTTAAAGCCAAAAGGGTTTTCGTATTTCTTTCTACTTTTTTTGGACAAAACAGGCTAAAAGAAACAAGTTCTATAATGTATATGTTGCATACCGGAATTATTGCTTATGCATCCTTTACAAAACTTACAAGACAATAAATTCCCAAAATATTTTGTCGTTTATTGATATTTTTGGCAATTTGCCAACTCTGTTGTCAAGCTGCGCTATTGATAAGGTCATATCTGATACCAGTTATACCCATTCTGATATTACACAAAAAAAAATTAAATAAGTATATCAATATACAACAAAAGACTGAATGCAATGTTAATGTCAAAATCTTGCTAATTTGTTAAAAAAAAATTTTAATAAATTTTAAATGTCCTGTGGGCTATTTTAAAAATTAAAATTTATAAGACAGACTACAGATTAAAATGGAATAACAAAATAAAACTTAATTAATAAATCCAATTTCATAAAATTTAAAAACTTTTCATTGTCTTGAAAAGTTTATTACTTTTCATAAAAATTATTTTATAAAATATGATTATTCTGTATACATAATCAACATATGAAGAAAATGCATCAGTCATTATTATTTCTATAAATAAATAGTAATCTCTCTCAATATACTAAGTTTTTCTTTGAGTCTAATTACTTCAATTAATAGTAATATTTAATTAATCTTTATGTTTACTTATATAAATAAGTTGTAATAGTAAATCCAGATGCTTTTATAAATTGATGTATTGCATCTTCTTATAATCTTCTTAGAATCTTCTTGAACTAATATAAGGTGCCCATCTTAGTGTCTTCGTTGTATACGCAACAGTGAAGACGCAGCCTTCAGCAAGAATTTGATGGTGAAATTCATTTATCTAGGTTAGGTTAGGTTATACCGGCAATTCCTAGGGGATTTACTTAGGCCTATTGGCTTATTGTGTTATCGTATATAGAGGAAAACTCAGGGTTTAAAACCAACTAATACCTTTGGCGATGCTCAAAATGCTGTTAAGTGGCAGGTCTTTAATTGAACAAGATCCTCAAGAAAAGTGTCAGGCTCCTAAAGTGTAAAGTGTCGAGTCGCCGCAGTGCATGAGCTGGGCATAGACTGAGCAGATGAGAGGCACTCTCATCGTCTTTCTGAGAGGCACTCTCATCGAATCACACTAGTTAGCACACCGCTGAAATACACGAACTCTTTGAGTAAAAGTTGACCAACCCAATAAGTGCCTAATTTCGCAGGATGACAGCTCTGTCAGGTCGAAGGGAAAAGAGCGTACTAGTAGAAGAATTTTAAAAAAATTTGAATCGAGTGATACTATGTATTATAAATCCTGGAACTATTAAATGTTTGTGTCAGTACTATTTCAATAATACATGTTATGGACTATAGATTGTAGGGTCAAGTATATAGACTTATCGAACCTTTTTAACACATTTTTATATGAATTTTGTATGAAAAATGGCACACATCGCAGTACTTTTGTCGAATTAGTTACAATAGTCTAAACATAGCGCTAGGCAAATTGTAATAATCTATTGTGAATTAAGTAAATAGAATTAATCTTTGTAAAGGTTTCAATTTTAATAAATGAGTTTATTTTAATCCAGATTTAAATTACTTATAGTATTTTAAATTATTATTAAGAGCCTATATCATTCAATTAAAAGCACAATCATGATTGTTTTAAAAACATTCTGAAAGAAATTCAGTGTTGGTCTGCATGTACTATTATTATTAGTATTGGATATGGCACTGCGGCCGTCAGGTCTATTGTGCTACCTTCTGGGTTTAGAGTATGTCTCTAAGCCCTATTGTTTTGATAAAAAGTAGTATAGTATTAAAAATGTTCTTAAAAATGTATTAAATGTATCTGGGATAATCAAACATATTCTTACTATATAATGTATAGAACTTTTTGAATAAAAGACATATTGCTGATAGTAAATTCATTTAACAGTGGATATAAGAATTACTTGCACAATATATCTGTTTAAGTCGCAGTGCTTTCTGGTCTTCGATAATAGTAAGAGTTCCTTTGACTGCACTGGTTCACTGGTATATTAGTTATTAGTTTTTTTTATGATTTTTACATTCTATATAATATTTTATTATATTCCAAATATTTTTTAATATAGGGATATACGACTCAAAAAAAAATTTTTTTAGGACACCCAAACCTTTGTCACCTATATATCAGTAAATACTGTAAATAGACCTCCATCAAGGTCTATCAAAGTATCACTTTTTGAATTTGAAGATCTTTTAAAGAATTTGAAGAATTTTGAATATAACTTATATTATTTTAAAAAAATTACAATATTTTAAATAATCATTTTACTAATAAAATTATATTTAGATATTAATGATTTTATGTCGATTAATTTAATAAATTTTAGTTAATTTTAAATTGGAACCTGTTTTTTAACGAAACCTAATTTATTTATTTATTTTTATATTTTATTTTATAAATTAACTCAATTGACAATAATTGATCGCTGCGAAAAACTAGAAAGTATCTAAACTATATGTGACGCATAAACGACAGATAAATATATTGTGACCACTCTAAGGTTTTTGTTTAAAAAATTTATATTCAGTTTATCTACAATCATATTTTGTTTAAAACATAAAAAAAAATTTTATTTTTGCACTAAGGTAGTTTAGGGCAGATGTGAATTAAATTTAAATATTCTTTGAATAGTTTATAGATACGCATATATTTTACGACCACGTAATCCGGTTGTAAGATATTTTAAAAGTTTATCTATCTATTATTATCTATTGCAGGTTATAGAAAAAGATTTGCAAATATCCAGAGAGCACATTTTGCAAATCCCTAATTAATTTTATGTTAATTTTAATTTTATAGTTTATAAAGAGGTTTTTTCCACGAGGCGAACTATTACGCTTGGCATATATTCCTTACGAAAGCCAAGTAAATGTAGACTGCACCCTTTGCAATCTTGGTGTAATTGAAGACGTCCAACATTTTATGGGGATCTGTCCTATATTACAGGAGATTAGGTTTAAGTATTTTAGAAAAGTATCTTTAGAAAAAACAGATGTAATTTCATTATTAAATGGAGAAAATTGGTTCTTGCTTAGCGCTTTTATTAATGAAGCAACTATTTATAGAAAAAAAATAATGGACGAAATATTTTGAAAGAATTTTAAATAGTATATAAATTAACATGTACACCTTTTAAATGCATTTTTAATGTAATAATTTAGTGTAATAATATTAAAATAATGGAAATATTGAAATGAATAAATTAAAATTAAATATTAAATTAGGCGGAGGAGTTTTGACTCATAGCCTTCTTATACACAGCTGTTATAAAAAATCTGTAAATTTGTAATTTTAAATTCAATTGAATAAATATAATTAACTAATTAACTAACTAACTAAAGAGGTTTTTTCGAACAGTAGTAAATTATAACAACAAAAATTTTATTTTTTATATTATTTTAATTAATTGAATTTTTGGCTGACCATACAGCTGTTTCGAGTATTGCCAAATACCCATCATCAGTGATCTTGGAAATAATTCTTGTATTTAATTATTCGTAAATACTTATTTTTTGAGACTGCAAGTACCAGGAATCAAACTCGGGTCCTGTCAAATGTTTATAGTTTATAAATATCTTATTTGTTTTTTTTTGTTGCAATTTGATTTTACTTCACTTGAAATTTCTTATATACATTCGATAGAGTTTAATCCTTAGAGACATATAATCGTATTTAAAGGAATGATTCGCAAACTTAGGAGCGAATTCTTAGGAGCCTAGGAATGTATATTATTGCATTAGCGCAGAGCTTTATAATAGCACATGAGGTGTCGGCCACCTCACTCACCTCTTCAGAGAATCTACAGTTTGCATTCGTAAGTATATCCAGTATTGTAAGGTGGTGTTTTAGTCTACAGTGCCCTGTTAGGATTTCTGTGATGATTCTAAGTTTTTCTTTTATAGGTGCATATAATCCTAGTATCTCTTATTGTTATAGCTACCTATTTGGATTGTTTTATTATCCCAGTAATCCTTTTTATTGTGCTTCTCCTTTATTTTTTATAACAGAAAGGAGCGTAATATGTCCTAAAGGTACACAAAAAGGTTCCAGCCCCATTATCGGTGTGGCTGCTCTTTTCCTGTCTAGTTTGTCCGCGAAGGTTGATTAGTAACTGCTCAACTTTCTGAAGTTGCTGCCGTTGTATATGTGTTTGTTGTTTTTAAACTCTCCTACAATGGTCAGGTATAAAAATAATATGTCTCTTATGTTTTTAATAAAAACAAATTGCTTTCTTTCTTGTACTCCCTCGTATTATACCAGCATTATTTTAGAAATTCTTGCATTATTGCACTATTATTGCATTATTATTCAAAATTATAATTAAGGTTGCTCTGAAAATAATTATGGAATGCCCTAAGAAACCTTAAGTTTGTAGTGTGAAGAACATATAAGACATATAAGGTTTAAGCTATACATAACCCAAGATCTAAACTCTAGCGAAATCGGATGGAGGTAAATCTTCATGTGGTAAGTATCTATGGAGTGATTAAAGTTCCATTCCTGATCAAAATCTGGCGAAACCGAATGAAAGTAAATCTTCGTGTTGTAAGCATCTAAGGAGTGATTAAAGTTCCATTTCTGAGACACGGCTTTATGTAGAATGTCAACATTTTTTTGTGCATCAAATAAGTGAATAAAGTTCCATTCCTGAGACGCGACTACCAAACATTTTTCAAAGATTTTTGGGAAGTACCTTTTTAGCCCACATATTAATGGGACTTAAATTTAGACCTTGAGTGTCACAGTTGCAGCATACATGCGCTGTACTATCAATGTAGTTTTCATATGACAAAATTTCAAAGAAATTATTACTTATTAAGAAATATGGTATGTATGTGAAGCAAGTTCGATTTGATATAATAATTATATCAATTATTG